GGGGGGGGGGTGAGCGTGCACACAAGGGCTGGATGGGCCAGCGCCGTAGAACCGCTTCACCCCCTCTCCGGCCGTGTTTGCGCGTGCATTTGCAATTGTGTGTGCATTGGCGTGCACTTCTTTGGTTTGGGTGTTGTGTGCATTTGTGCGCGCACGTATGTTACCAGAGAGCGGGGACCCCCCCCGGGGATTCCCCCCCCCACGTCGGCCACTCGGCCCTTCCTTGAGCAAGGCATGCCCCGCTCCTGTTTACTTTCCGGTTGCTCCGTAGGTGTGCACGCACGACATGCGTGTCCCCCCCCCCCAGGTCGTTTCAGCCTGAATGCCCACCTTTGGTGCTCTGTGAAGCGGGGCCTGGAGAGGGTGGATGGGGCGTTAAAATCCTTTAGTAGATGGGTGTCCTCCGGCCATAGCATTGTGGGCTGGACCCCCGGAGTCTGCATGGGGGTGGGGGGCTTGGAGCCCGCAGTCTTCTCGGGGTGGCAGGTGTCTCCGTGTGGCTCGGCTCCCCTTCTCCAACGCAGCGCGCTGCACACACGCAGGTCAGGGTGGGCATGAGCTGGTGGCCTTTCAATCACCGGTATGAATTCCCCCTGCGAGAAAAGCACACGAGGACAAACAAGGTACACGTGTCTCACTATTTTTATCTTCCAGAGTCTCTGACAAGTAAAGCATCAAGGTGGGGAAAAGTGTTCACTAAAAACAAAGCCGTTTTGCTTCACAGGCCTCAGGCAGGAAGAAATAAGGACGCTGGATTGCTGTAGAAACGAGACAGGTAAGGACTGTAATACACAGGAAAGCATTCTGACACCATCTGAGGCTTTCTCCTTATTCCAAGCATTCTCTTTTTTTTCCCTTCCCTCCTGCCCTCCCCCTTTCTTTTCTCTCTTTACTTTCTTCCTTCCTTTTCTCTTTCTGTTCTGAGGATTGGTCTCTAGCCACATACTCTACTGCTTGAGCCATGCCTGCGGCCCCTTCTTGTGTGGATCATTTCAGGTAAGGTCTTCCTCTGCACCGATTAGCCTGGGTTGCAGCCCTCCTACCTGTGCCTCCCATGTAGCCAGCCACGGCTGAGATGGAGTTTGCTGTATTTGAAGGCTGGCCTGGAATCATGATCCTGGATCGCCACTTCCCAAGAAGCTGGGATTACAGGCTTGAAACGCCCCACTTAACTAAAAGTATTTCTTCTTAAGGGAGGCGACACACATCTTTACTTCATCCACCATATTCAGTCAGCCACCGTGCCAGTCATACTCACACAGGAATTGTCCTGGTACAAAGCTCTTACCCAGCCAAAGGGGAAGAAGGGAGAGAGATTCCTTCCTGCCCTTCTGATGGCTGTGACAAATGCCCTCTACTCACGGCTGTAGTGGGATGATGGTCATGCCTGGCTGGGGAAGGGGAGTTAGTATAGGTTGACCTGGGAAAATGTGTACTCATAGAAATTGTACTGGCTTCATAACATCATGGCTTACTATTTTCTTGGAACCTTGTCTTAAATCCATAAGATTACTCATGAGGAATTGAAAGCCTTTGTGTGTCTAATATCCAGAGTTTGGGTAAGGAAACCAGAGAACAGCTAGAAAAGCAATTATACATTGGCCTAGCAGACAGCCAGAAGGAGAAGCTTCCTGCCTTTCCTTAGACTCCTCTAGCCTACCTTTATGACTTTCCCCAGCCTAGTTCTTTATGTGGTAGCATCTTGACTTCAACCACCAGCCAACCTCATGATGTCTGGTCTACAGACCTTGGCTACATCTGTTTCTCAGACCTTCCAGACAAAGCACATAGACTGCACTTTGAAGATGGCATCTACCTCCTCAGAGCAGAGACCACTGGGCACGTGACATGTGTCAGTGACACTGAGCCGGGGAGGATGGCAGTTCAAAGCCAACTGGCAGAACTGTTTCAGGAAGCCCCATAGACAGGTATGATTGTATGTGCCTGCCATCCAAGCTAGATGCGAGGCTGAAGTCAGTATTACTGTACTTCCAGGTTAGTCCCGCCCCCCCCCCAATATATGTCCATGGGACTCCATCTCAATAAAAGAAGCTGGGTGCAGTGGGCTGTACCTATCACCCAAGCAACAACTGTGGGAAATAACTAGGGAGATCTTGGTCCAGGCATATGTAAATATGACTGAGCAGTAGAACCCATCTAGCAATCCGAGTTCAAAACACAATATTGTACAAAACAAAAGAAGCCAAGGGACCACCTCTTGCCAGCCCTGGTTGGTTGGATTATACCAATAGAACAGTAGCAGGAAGAGATGAAGAGAATGGAAATAGTAACTGAATCTTTGAGGCCTATGTTTTCCTGCAGTCTCCAGTCTGTTAGATTTTTTTATTGCCAGACTGCGCCACCTGCCGGTTGCTTCCTTGAATTGCATAATTCGGAAAGTTTCATCCATCCTGAATATAGATTCTTCCTAAATGTATAAATTTTTTTAAAAGAACATTGTTCTAACACAAACTAATAGACACGTGCATTAAATCTCTCCATCTCTTAACCTCTTATTCTATATGAAGAAAGAGGCCATTAACTGAGATGGAATTGGTAGTTAACAGTAAGATGAAAGTTAAAAATAGAACCATTTAGGTTATTTTAAATGAAAAAATTATGACCCCCTTAAATAAACTCCACCAAAATATGGATTTACTAGAAGGATAAACACTTTCCAAATAGCCTGCCTACATGAAAATTGAATTACTTGAAATAATATCTCACACACTTGATAAGCAATCCAAAAATGATCATTTGAATTTTCAAACCTTGTACATTTTATAATCCTCACACTGAATGTTGCCACATTCTTTCAAGTGGCTTGAATTCTTGGTTGAAAGGCCATGAATATGTGTCAGTTCATCCAGGCTCAGATCCCCTCCGCCTTTTTTTGTAAGCACCTTGTATTCTCAAATCACTGACAATCAGGGTAACACTTTAGTCAAATCTAAGCCAATAAGCCTTATTTTCACTCAGAAACCTCACTAATTATGATAGGCCCTAGACATAAAAAACTTAGAATAATTAAGCAACAACTTTTAAAATTAGACAATGAACCATAAACAAATCACACTGTTGTGCAACTTTTAATGACTAAAAAATAAAAAGTTACTTTTAGCATGGGAAATTTGGCTGGGGCCAGCTTAGTGATTTGTCATTTAAGGTGAAATAGACCAAGGGTGAGATGTTGTCTTCCTTGTTTTTCTTTGGCCATTTCTGGGCCATGAACTCATGGCCTCCTGCTCATGCTTAGCTTTATAGCTCAAGGCTGGAGCTCTATCACTTAAGCCACACCTCCAGTTCAGGCTGTTTGTGCTGGTTACATGCGAGATATGTCTCTCAGATTGGTCTGCTCAGGCTGGCTTTAAGCTGTAATCCTCACATCTCAGCTTCCTATCTAGTTAGGATTACAGGTGTGACTCACAGGCTCCTGGCTCAAGTCTTTCATTTTTCAAATGCATACCTGCTCTCCTTAGGTTGAAACTGCAATCTTAGAATCAAACAACATGTAACACCATCCTATTCCAAAAGTTTCCTTTCTTATGTGCAATAACTTTTGTTCTATGCTCTTTGGCACAGAGCACAGGATCTCCCAGATTTTAGTTGCAACTGAACATGATTAGAAAGAAAAGTCAAGTTGAATGTGTTTCCTAGGACCTCTGTGACAATGTACCACAAAGTGTGGATGGCTTGCAACAGCTGAAATCGATATTGTCATTGTTCTGGAGGTTAAAGTACAAAATCAAGAAGGCCAGCAATCCCCGTTCCCTTTGTGACTTTGGGTGGCCCCTTTCTTTGTCTCTTCCTAACTCTGGCAGAGACTAGCAAGCAGTCCTTGGTGTTCCTTGGCTGGAAGATTCAATCCTCAGTCTCTGCCTGGGCCATGATAGGACATCTGTTTTTCTTTTCAGATCATCTGTCATACTGCATTAGGACTTAGCCATATAACCGTGTCAACTTGATTATACCTGTGTACTCTTCAAATCTTTGGGAGTGACAGCTGAACCTATAACATGTACCCAATGGAGTGTCTTTCAAATTAGTAAGGACTCTTTACTCCAGTGCCCAAGAACTTCATCAAAGCAGAGGCTCCAGAGGTATGTATGGGGCTGTGATGTAGCTTAGTGGCAAAGGACTTACCAAGCAAGTGCAATGTCCTGGGTTCAATCTCCAGTGCCAAAAAAAAAAAAAAAAAGAGGTACTTATGGTCTTTTTAAAACTAAGATCTAGCTACTTCCTATTTTTGCTCAGAAATTCTTCAAAGGCTAGAATCTTATTCCTTTGCATGGAGTTCAGTAACCAAGTCTACTCACCCTGCCCTTCCTTTCCCTTCTTGCGGCTGTTAACTTCTGGTGGTCTTTGAACTATGCCCTAACCTCTCTTTTTGCCTTTGAAGGATGCACCCCACTATTTTACCTGGCAAATGCAAACACAGACCTTAAGTTTCAGCTCAAGAGTTTCTTCCTCTGAGAAAGCAGTGCTAACACTTTCATGAGTGTTGCTAGCTACAGTTTGGTAGAGGCTAGGAATTTAAAAACCAGGAATCTGGATTGGAATTCTGGCTCCATTGCTTTGGCAGCTGTCACCTTGGGCCAGTCATGAGGAAATCTCTGCTCCTGCTCTCGTATCAGAATGCAGAGGTATTCAGTAGACAACAGGTAGGGCTAGTGTGGGCTTTCAAGTTTAAACTTGTAGAAAATTCAACATTGACTTGTACCACCTATTAACTTCCCAGTGCTAGGTATGATATCTTAACCTTATCTAGCACCAATCACAGTGCAGTTTCTGGCATATTCTCCACAGTAGCTTATTGACTAAATTTGAAGGTAGTGACCACATTTTTCCTTGGTCCACTTGGCCTAGAAGAGTGCTTGCAAAGACAAAGATTTGTCTTTGTGGCATTACATTGAAAAACCTCAATGCCAAAGACAGGAATGGGAAGTCCATTCCTCTTTCTCCAGGAAGTTTGTGAGACTGTAGAAGACCCACAGAAGGATGGCTGAAAGAAATGTAATCTCTGCAAGGGACAACTCGCTTATACAGAACTGTAGCTCCAGTGTGTGCATAGCAGGTTGACCACTGGTTCTCCACAAATACTCGCTGAATGAGGAAAATGGAAGTTGTAAAGTCAGAAGTGGAATAGAAACCAAGAAATAACTGTTTCTTTTTAACATCCAAACATAAGAATTACAGAAGTGAGATCATATGCTACTTATGAATATAAAGTATGCAAATCTGAAGGAAGCCTAAACTTATAAATCAGAATGTTTGAGAAGTCTCTTCTCTGTGTTTGAGCTGGTGAAGCCAGCTGTGATCCTGACTATTCAGGATGTTGGAATCTGAGGAAGACAAATCCCAGAGACTCTTATCTTCAGTTAACCAGCAGAAAGCCCCATGTGGAGGTGTGGCTCGAGTGGCACAGCCACGCCTTGAGTGAAAAACGAAAACAAAAACAAAAAAAGCAAAAGCAAGAGGCTCTGAGTTCGAGCGTGCATGCATGCGTGCGCGCACGCACACACAACTCATGACCATCAAAGCATGTTCTCTTACCTAGCAGTCCTGTAGAATTTGTTTCCCTTCACAGTCAGGAAATAGTTCATTGAGAAAACATTTGCATGTGAACTATGAGGAATCTATCATTCACTTGTATATGAAATATAATTAAGAATTTTTTCTTGAATTCCACATTTCTTAAACTTCTATTTGGCTATCACATGTGAGTCCCACAAACAGAACGTATTTGAAATTAGAGATGTTTAGAGAGGAGATACTCTGAAAATATTACCTCTTTAAAAAGGACCAAGGTCAGGCCCAGGAAAATATTTAGAATGCTAAATCAAGGTAACTTTATAGAAAATACTGTATTTTGTTCAAATAGCCCGGTAAAACACAAAGTTTGTAGAAAGAAAAGTTCTCAGATCTGGAAGGCTTATTCCTATTTAGTTTATTTTTTGTTATAATTCAGAAATATAAGGTATGAAAATGGGATAGTTCTTCCACAAAAACCTCTATAAAGTTCTAAATTGTATCAAAATAGCCATTTATCCTTTCATTTTTCTATTTAAAAAACAATTTGACTTGTCACATCAAGCAAGGGTCAACTACACTGGCAACTATTTGCTCTGTAAAGTAGCATCTCCGCGCCACAGAGCAGCCTTGCAGTCTCACAGGAAGATTCGGTCAGCAGTGGAGGTTAGGGTAGCCATGCTTTGTCAAGCTGAGTTACCAAGACACCAGGGACGAGAAAGATACAAAGCAACTGACATCTAAAGTATGAATCCTTGTAAGTGGGCTCAAATGAGTTCCCCAGGCTTAAATGAGAACATGTCATATAAAACGAATGTGGTGACATAATTCAGAACAAAATTATGGTACTGCTTTCTTCTAGAAAGAGAAAATTATACAATGCATCTATTACACAAATATCTTCTACATCTAAATATCTAAATGTCTCTCCAGGTTCCATTTGCAAGAATCCAGATATTTATAATTAAATATAGACAAGTATCAGTGTGAAAGACTACCACAACAGCGTTGTAAATTTCCTTTTTCTCTTTCCAAATTCATCCCTTTATTTTGTTTGAATGAGTTCAAACCCAGAGCTTCAGGCTGGAGCCACACTGCCAGCCTTTGAGCTTTAGCTTATTGTATACATTTGTCTCTCACCCTTGCCTGAGCTGACCTTGAACTATGATCCTCCTCCATTTCCTGAGTAGTTGGGATTACAAGCATGTACTACCATAACTACTTGTTCTATGAAATAGAATTTCACTTTTTTTTTTGCCTAGATTGGCCTCAAACTGCTATCTTCCTATTTCTAAGTCCAAGTAGATTACTTTTTTTCTTTTCAATTTAAAAAATACAGATAACACCCTCACAATGCTTTTTTTTTTCTTTCCTGTATTGGGGATCCCAGGACCTCTTATATGCTAGGCAAGCACTCTACCACAGAGCCACATTCCCAACCCATGATTATTGGGTTTTTTTTTTGTAAAAAAAAAAAAAAGAAAGGAGGATTGTTTTGTAATCCATTTTCAATTTTGGAAGTCCTTTGGACATAGCTTAGAATTTATACAGCTGAAAGAGTTCGTTTTTAAAGAAACAAGCTTAAAAGACGAACATATCTGTGTTCCCTCCTATGTGCAAACTACACTAAAAGACATAGTCATGGACATACATGCAGAAGTGTGCACACACAACACTCCATTTACATAATTATACATGTGGATAAACATAAAACGACTCTAAGACAAAGGAAAAAAGGGGTAGGGCAAAATGGAGGGTACATAATTTTCTAACATATTTGAAATATAGATGAAAATCCTCAATGAAAGCTGTTGGCTCAGTAGGGCACTGGGAGTCAGGAAAGAGTATAGACTGGGGCAGAGAACAGGTATTATTGGAGGGGGTTGGGCAAACAAGAAGGATGAAGGAGGTTGAAAATGGTCTAGATTATTTGCAACTATGAAAACAGAGCAATGAAACCTGCTGAAATTGTTTTGGGAAAGAATAGGGAAAGGAGGTGACTGAGAAGCTGAGATTGATTGGGATACATTGTAAACATGGCCCAGTGGAAATCATCCTCTGTAAGATCGATCTACTTTTGGGTATAGTAAGTGTTGGATTAATCTGATCCTTTTTTTTTTTTTTAAAAATGTGAGTTTTCTATCTAGGTCTTTTCTCACCAAAGTGATCTAGAAAACTCGTTTCTTTGCCCCCTAACCCTTCTCTCCTTGAACAAAAGGAAAACAAGTAGTCCAAGAATGAAGCACAAACAGATAAAGAACTTTCCTTGAACATTAAGCAAGATGCTTTGTACTCATAAATAGACCTGTGGAATAACCCCTTTGTATAGCTACTTAAAATACTAATAAACCAACATTCCTTGTAACATTTTCATTTTGCATTTCTGGGTAGTCAGGCACTAAATGAATACAATCCCTTATCCAAAAATTTCTAGGCCAGACCTATTTCAGGATTCATCATTTGTTGGATTTACAAAAGGTAATACAGTAAATATTGCAAAACATGTCTATCAAATTTGGGCAAGACCTATAATCAAATTGTTATTTTTCTCAGGTAAAATTAATAAGCAGGCTCCTGATGTGGCATAAATAAAAAGTACAACACTTCACATTCAAGCTTTGCTAACAAAAACAAATTTCCTCTTGGCCACAGAACCATTTTGGTGCAACCTATCCCAGGTAAATGGTTGCAGTTATTCAAAGCCATTTATATTAAATAATGTTTTCTGAAAGAATGATTAAAATATACCATTCTTAGATCTTGATGAAGGTACTGTGGAAGCCACTTGAAAGTCAAGAACTACAAAAATGGAAGCACAAAAACAAGCCTGTCTATAACTTCTAGGCTTTTCATCATTTTTGTTTTTATTGATTTTTACCATAGAAAAGTTTCTTCTCTAAAAGTAGAGGTCTTTTCCCTCCAAAGTGATCTAGAAAGCATGGCTATGGATGCAAGGAGAAGTAACAAGGAGGCGAAGGAACATTCCCCTAGGTCAGGGCACACTGGAGAAGGAACAGGATGGAAGAGGTGAGGCACTTGCTGTAGAAATCCACAAAGGGAACAAGAGTCCTGCATCCCAGAAAGTACACTGCTGGGTGCAGAGGGTTTCCAGAAGGAGCAGTGGATTCCCTGACACATACCTAACACCTGGCAAGACCACACTGCTCTCGGCGTCAGTGGAGAGTCACAGACGATAGTCAATCATCCTACTAAAGGCCAGGACGAGCCAGGCACCAGTGGCTCTCACCTGGAGTCCTAGCGCAGGACGAGCCAGGCACCAGTGGCTCTCACCTGGAGTCCTAGCAACTCAGTATCACCAGGCTCTCATTATCACCATTTGAAGCCAGCAGGAGCAGGAAAATCTATGAAACTCTTATCTCCAGGTACCCAGAGAAAAAAGCTGTGGCTCAAGTGGTAAGAGTGTCAGCCTTGAGCGATAAAGCTAAGGGTAGCTCCTAGAGCCCGAGTTCAAGCCCCAGTACTGACACACACACACACACACACACACACACACACACACACACAGATATTTTTCAGAATCAGACATCTTTCTCAGAGAAAAAAGCTGTGGCTCAAGTGGTAAGAGTGTCAGCTTTGAGCGATAAAGCTAAGGGGTAGCTCCTACAGCCCGAGTTCAAGCCCCAGTACTGGCACATGCACACACACACACACACACACACACACACAGATTTTTCAGAATCAGACATCTTTCTCTAATGAAATCTATAACCAGCCTTTCCTAAAAGCTATACATATGCTACAAAGGTAAGAATTACACACTTTTCATTGTTTTTTTTTTTTTGGTCTGTTTTAATGACTGCATGAATTAATTTAAAAAGTGAAGTCAAATAAATCTTGGCTGGTCTCTGTTTTACAAAAATATCTCAGCAATATAAGCAAAATGGAAAGGAGGAGAGAGGACGAGCACACAGGTGCTACCACAGAATGGAATGGAACAGAAGTGGATTTCGGTCATCATGGCTATTGAAGAAACTGTAAACTTTTAAGATTCTAAGATTTTATTTCTCTTCAGAAAATATTTAAGGTTGGTTGCATTTCCCCTTGAATTAAAAAAACAAAGAGTTGCTATGAGGGTCTGAAGGAGAAAGCAAAGCCTGCCCTTCCTTCTGCACTGCCCTCCCCCCTCACCCCTGCAGCTCAGCTCAACGGGATCAAAAAGAGGGAAACTCATCTCCACTGGCAGCCGGGGACGCGCATCCCAAACACAACATGACACAGTGACGTCGATGACCCTCAGCCTCCCTGGCAACACCCAAAACTCATCTTGACCAAAATACATCAAGTTCAAGCTGGGCACCAATCGTGTGTGTAATCCTAGCGATTCAGGAGGCTGAGATCTGAGGATCACAGTTTGAAGCCAGTCTTGGCACAAAAGTCCATGAGACTCATCTCTAAGTAACCACCAAAAAGCAAAAAGTGGAGCTGTAGCTCAAGTGTAGAGCATTAGTCTTGAGCAAAAAAACAAGCTTAGTCCCCCAGGCCGAGTTTAAACTCCAGAATTGGCACACTGGTGCAAACACACACACACACACACACACACAAAGTTCAAAACACAACAAAAACCAGCTTCTAGGGAAAGCTTAACAACTACTATAATAAAACCTTCAGACCTTCTAGTGGGGAATCAAGTATGGCTAGACTTGATCTCTATGGAGCTTAAAAACAAAAAGGAAGAATAAATAGGAAAAGTCTAAATTACCCTTCTATTCTTTACCCTGTTCACCTGCTATTGTCCTCACACTATAATGGTCCCACCTCAGAGCCCAGAAAACCCATGTCTCCCAGCCTGCATTTGCATAGTGTCAATCATATTGTCTGGAGTTAAATTCCTATCCCTTTGTTTGGCACCGGTTTTCTGAAGAGCACCGGTCCAGTTAAACATAGTCACAAACAAGACAGAGGAGTCTGTTGGCCAAAAAGTCGAGTCTCATGTAGCAGCAAGCTGTTCAAATTATTTGCAAACAGTCTTTTGCCAGAGGGGTAAGGAATCAGGCAGTTTTGTCTGCAATTTCCGATTTTGCTCTCTGAGCCATGCAGCGACGGACTATATTGTCGAAACTTCCAAGGTAAAACAAAGCAATCGTGCGGAAAAGGCCCATGGTGACCACCTGCAAGACACAGATAGACCTTTTAGCTCATTGGACAGAACAGTACAATTGTTGGTTTTGAGGTATTTAGGTCTCTGGGAAATAGTTTCTAGGACATGCTTCTAATCTGCTCCATGGAGAAGGATAATAAAAACCCCACCAAGTATCAGCTAAGTCCCAAGAACACAACACTTCTACTGTGTGTAATTGTATAACTGGAAGCTGCCAGAGAGAGAATGCTCTTCCAACAGATAAACTCCAGCCATAGAAAGCAAAAATAGCTGGGTACCAGTGCCTCACGCCTGTAATCCTAGCTACACAGAAGGCTGAGATCTATGTGGCAGAGTGCCAACCTTGGGTGAAAAAGCTAAGGGAGAGCACAGTGCCCAGGCCCTAAGTTCAAGTCCTACTAGTGGCGCACACACACACACACACACACACATCAAAACAACAACAAAAATAGGTATTCTTAGTACTGACAGTATTTTGTACTATTCAAAATAGGCAACTTTATAATAGCTAGGGACTCCCCAAATTTCCTTCCCACCTGTCTTGTTTTCAGAGAGCTACTACCCGAAGCAAATGAGAGAAAGGATCACAGAAAGACACTAGCATGGGCTATCAGAAGCATGAAGCCCAGCCAGAAGATGGCAGAGGGGTGCCAGGGCCACCAGGAAATGGAAGTGGGCAGCCAGGCATCTGCTATGCATGGGGCATGACTGGAAGATCCCATGCTCCTCCCAGCAGGAATCCCTCCCTGAGGATGGCCCTGATCCAAGATCTGGTATTGCTCAGGATCTCAAGAGGAGACTACAACTGTCAGCAGAGAACTGAAGACCTAATAATACTCAGAAATAATAAAGAGAAAGCAGCCAAGAATATTTTCAGGTTCCCAGGCTAGCAGGTGGGAGGGCTTGTACCATGTTAAGCTCAGTAGCAGTGGGCAGCCACTGCCGGTTTTATGCAAGGCAGGTTTGCAATTTAGAAACAGAGTGGAAAATGTGACATCAGATGTATCTGGAAGAGCAGGTGAGGAGATTACAGACCAAGGGATTGAGAAAGGAGCTGTGGGAGCAGCTGACACTTGTCCCTATTGATTACTGCCTGCTGACAAGCAGCTCCTGTGTGGCTAGACTTCCCAATTTTCCAAGAAAAAGCTGAAATCTAGACTTGAGCATGTTTGTCCCAGCCACCCACCTCTCTATCCACCCACCCACCCATCCACCCATCTACCCATCCATCATCCATCCATCCATCCATCCATCCATTTGCAGATGCAGACAGAGCTCACCTGCTGGAGTCCTTCAGTGATAGACGTTACTGGCGCCATCCCACATGTTAGGGAGGACAGCATGTACCCATCTGAGCCAATGGAGCTGTTAAAATTTCCTTGCTAAAAGAGGAGAAGAGACTGATCTGTAGGAAGTTTTAAGCAATCAGTTTAACATATGAAGAACAATGGATGTATTCATTTGCTTCAGATGGGGCAGGATGGTAACAAAGCACTGATGAGACTTTACAAATGGACAAATGGCCTTAGCAGATGGGCAGTTCTCTAGTTCAGGGGCCGTTCAGTGACATCATATACTATGACATCATTTCTGTCTACCAGTGACGTGCACTGATGGGCAGTGCCGCGGGGTGTAAAACAACTCAGTGTCTCCAAAGGGCTGGGAGTCACTGCCACAGTACATGCAAAATAAACACACAAAGAAAATACCACCTATAGGGCTGTGAATGTGTCTTAGTGGTAGAGTGTTTGCCTAGCATGCATGAAGCCCTGGGTTCAATTCCTCAGTACCGTATAAACAGAAGGGGGAAAAAAAAAGCCAGAAGTGGCACTATGGCTCAAGAGGTAGAGTGATAGCCTTGAGCCCAGAGGCTCAAGGACGGTGTCCAGGCCCTGAGTTCAAGCTCCAAGACTGGCAAAAAAAAAAAGAAAAGAAAATACCACCTATAAAGAGTTTTTAAAAATCTGCTCATTGTAGTGGACTCCATCAGTAATCCTGGCTACTCAGGAAATAGAAATCAGGAGAATCTTGGTTTGTGGCCAGCCCAAGCAAAACATAACTGAGACTCCATCTTAACCAATACAAAGCAGGGGGCATCGTAAGACTCCATCTCAACCCTGATGGTACTTAGTACCTGTCATCCCACCTGTAAGACATATGTAAATAGGAGGATCAAGGTCCAGGCTGGCCCAGTATAAAACAAGATTCTCAGATCTCAGCCTCCTGAGAGTTGAGATCTGACACCTGGCATGTAGGTGATTTTAATATTATGCTGAAAACTCATTTTTTCCTCCAGGTTTGTCCCATCCAGGACATGAATCATCCCTTGGTCCAGAGTATCTGATACTTGGCACAGAAACTTTTCATAGGAAAAGTGTAAGGAAAAACTCAGTGTTAGTCAGATTCAGTATGATCCGCGTTCTATAGAGAGCTTTTAATCTCTGGATGCGGTAGGGAGCCTGTATTCATGTGACCAATGAGAAATTTGCACTGCTTCTGCATATTTCTGAATACCAAAGGAGGATAGCTATCTCGAAGAAAGGCTCTTTTTGCAGCTGTTTAAGAGCTGACACCATTCCCTATGGGGGAAAAAAAAAACACTGCAGGCAACCCAGAGACATTTAGAGCTAGGTTCTTGGTTGGAATGATATGAATGAAGTACGCCTGTTGCTTTTAGGAAAAGAACCTGCTCTGTTTGTGGGCTGTTGGATCTGAGCTTTGAAGTGGGGGGGGGGGGGAGTAAGATTTCTGAAAAGCTCCATCTACATCGTGGGATTGCTGGCTTCCCAATGCATACTTTTAGGATAAGATCACAGCAGTGATACTGATGAATGTGATTTTTTTGAACCCATATTTTCCAAATGACTAATGCATGTTACAAAATCATAAATGGGTAAGCATACAGGGCCAACTGATGGGTTTTAATGTCACATAGAACAGAAAAGTTCACTGATGTGGTTTCCATTTTCACACTGTAACTAACCTTTGAGACACTACCACTTGTCAAGTTTGGATTTACAAAACTCAAAAAAGAAAATTATGCTCCCATGATGTGAAAACCTAGTAAAATGCTCTTTCCTCTTCCACTGATGTACCTACCTGTGTCATGTCAGGTTTTCTTCGAAGGCTGCAATTAAAATAATATGTAACTGCATATTACAACAGATTAACCCCAGAAGCTTCCCTGAAGATCCAGCCAACTTCTATTAATAAAGACTATG